GCCGAGGGCTCTCTCTGAGCCTCGTCTGGTTTATGAGCAGGAGCCGCTGTCTTCCCACTGACCCAACAAGGAAAGGGCGGCGCACAGAGTCCGCTCCAGGGCACGCACAGCCCGGGTGAAGCCAGGACCTGCACCGGGCACCCTGATGCCAAAGCTTGTGCAGCTGTGAGGACACAAGGACCCGAGTGTAGAGCCGGGCGTGACCTGTCGACCAGGGCACGGCGATGACGCCTTTGCAGGTGGGCTGGCGGCGCTGGCCAGGGCTCTTCCCATGGCGCTCTCCCCAGGAGCTTGTCATTCAAGGGCAGACCAGGCTCGGCCACGAAGGACTAGCCCTCGCCTGCCAGTGAGGGGGCGAGGGAGCTGCCTCTCCCGGCTCTGTCCTCAGGGATGACAGTGAGGTCACCACTCGGCCACCCTGCTGCCCCCCTCAGGAGGGGGAGGGGCTTGAGGAGAAAGGGTTTGTTCTGGACTCTGCAGGGGGAGGGCAGAGCGTGGGGACCGAGGAGGCAGCTTCGAGAGGGACCCGCAAACCTGAGCTGGAGACAAGTCCCGGTGCCCAGTGACTGCGACCCTCTCAGTGGGACACACACGCCCCCTGGTGGGGACACAGCGGGAGGGCGGCTGAGAGCATTTTAAGATTTGCTGAGGGACTAGCACCCATGAGCCTGGGTAGGAATGGTCAGTCCCGTCTCTATGTGCACACGCGCGCATGTGCACACACACACACACACACACACACACTTACTGCCACAGGCAGGAGCCAGCTGACCTAAGCGTTAAAAAGAAAGATTTCCTCTATTCCACTGGGCACTGACTTAGCCAGCGTATCAGGAGCCTCCGGTGTACATTGTGGGGCGTGTGCTGGGCGCTGGGCGTGACCCGGTGATGCAGGAGGCAGTGCCTGCCCTCCGGTTAGTACAGGGGCAAGGTCCCCACAGAGGAGGCCCCGTGCTGCCTGCTCCGCAGTGGCTGGTCATGTGACCCTGCCTGCTCTGGACCGCCATGTCCCCATCCCAGGAGCATGTGTGGAGTCCGGGTGGGCCGTGCTGGGACGTCAGGACTAACGACCCTCCTCGGGGAAACCCTGTCCAGTGAGATGAAGGGAGGGTGGCCCTCTGGGGCCCACAGAGCCTCCCAATCCACAGAGACACCGTGGGCCGCCCCGGGAGGCGCTGACAGACTCGCCTACTCGACGCGCGTTCCGGAGTGCCCGTGTGCCAGCTCCTGTGGGTACACGATGAATTCAGACATCCTGGCACAGACCAGCAGAATACTGGGCGGAATGTAAGAAACGCGCTGTCAACCACAGGCAGCAGCCAGGACGGGGACCCCAGGACGCCTCAGCGCCTGCCCCAGACAGCCACGCAGCCACGGGCCTCGCCAAGGGGGAGACGGGCTCAGAGCTCGGACGGCGTGGCGTTCCCAAGGACGTGCACACAGATCAGTGGGTCCCAATGCAGAAGCCACGAAGGCGACTCAACAGAGAAAGGGAAGTCCCCCCCACAGACGACAGGAAGCAGTAGCCATAAGAGGAAAAATGGATTCACTGGACTCGGTCAAAATTCTTGGACAGACTGGGAGAAAATATCCGCCAAGCAAACAGCCGAGGAAGGACCTGTCTCCAACATAGAGAGAAACTTACAATTTAATATAAATAAGACAGCCCATCAAAAGGGGGAGGGTTTTAATCGACGTGTCCCACAAAAAGTGTACATATGGCCAATCAGCACAGAGAGATGTTTGGCATGAAAAGTCATCAGAGAAATGCAAATCAAAATCTCCAGGTATGACTAAGTTTAGCCACCAAAATGGTTAAAATTAAAGACTGGCCATACTAGGTGTTGGCGAGGGAGTGGGACAACTGTTACATCTGCTTGGGAAGCAAACCAGCTTAGCAGTTTCCTGTGAAGTTATCCATGAGGAATGAAAATTCATGTTCACACAAGGATTTATGCAAAACTGTTCACAGCAGCTTTCTTAATAATAGCTCCAAGCTGGAAGCAACCCAGATACGCATCAACAAGTGAGCAGATAAAGACTGTGGTATGTTCACATAATGGAATAATAGTCAGCAATAGAAAGGAAATGAACTACTGATGGAATAATAGTCAGCAATAGAAAGGAAATGAACTACTGATGTAAGCCACAACGTGGATAATTGAGAGAAGCCAGACATAAAAGAATACCCACTGTATGAGTCCATTTGTAGGAAATTCTAGAACAGGCCAAACTAATCCATAGTGACAGAAAGCAGACCAGTGGTTGCCTGGATACGGAGACTGGCTGCAAAAATGGTAGGAAGGTGCTCTTTGCAGTGACGACATGTCCTAAATTGTGACTGGGGTCGTGGTTGCGTGGGTGTATACGTGTATTGGATTATTGAACTGTACATTTTACATGGATGCAACGGTATGTAATAAAGATGACTTAAAGAATTAAAAAGAAGCAACACGAGAATGAAGACCTGATCCTTGTCTTGCTCATGGTCTAGTGGAAAAGTCAGACTGGGAAACAAATAATCATAAAAGAGTGAATATTTAGCCGAACCGGTTTGGCTCAGTGGATAGAGCGTCAGCCTGCGGACTCAAGGGTCCCAGGTTCGATTCCGGTCGAGGGCATGTACCTTGGTTGCGGGCACATCCCCAGTGGGGGGCGTGCAGGAGGCAGCTAATCGATGTTTCTCTCTCATCGATGTTTCTAACTCTCTATCCCTCTCCCTTCTTCTCTGTAAAAAATCAATAAAATATATTTTAAAAAAAAGAGTGGATATTTAAAGAAGTATGTTCAGCCCTAGCTGGTTTGGCTCAGTGGATGGAGTGTCGGCCTGTAGACGGAGGCGTCCCGGGTTTGATTCTGGTCAAGGGCAAATGCTCGGATTGCGGGCTTGAACCCCAGTAGGGAGCCTGCAGGAGGCAGCCGATCGATGCTTCTGTCTCATCACTGATGTTTTTATCTTTTTCTCCCTCCCTCTCCCTTCCTCTCTGAGATCAATAAAACTATTTTAAAAAAGAAGCGCGTTCAAATAACAGGAGCTCTGTTTCTTGCCCGATTCCCACGTGCCAGGCCCGTGCTAGGTGCGTCCCCAGCACAACCCTGAAGAGTCTGCTCAGCTTGTGAGACGGAGGAAGAACAGCTGTCGGAATGTCAACTAGCAGTGCCTGCCGTGCCACCGTCCCCGATGTGAGCAGCCAGCGGCTCGGGATGTACCTCCCCTCCTTCACGTTCTTAATAACAGAATGAAAGACCCCGCTCCAGGTTAAGAAGCGAACATATGCCAAAGACTCCGCAGTCTATTCCTGGGGGTTTCGGACACCGTGTCTTAGACCCGGCCAGTGAAGGGAACTCGGTGAGCTGTGCACGTGACCACAGCGGGCACCCTGACGAGGCTTCTCCTCTGCACTCAGAGAGGCCTCCTGCCCTGTCACTAAACTGTGCAGCTCTTTCCATGTCAGTAAATACAGACCTTTACTAAGCAGAGTGATAGCTAGGTAGCAATTCCACCAGATGTAAGACTCCCACTTCTAGACCTCACCAGCAACCGAGTGCAATGAATTCCCAGCAACATGAACACCTGGTCTCAACCGCTCTGAGCCCTTGCTTGCATTCGGATGCATTCTTCTTCTTCTTCTTCTTCTTCTTTTAAAATATATTTGTATTGATTTCAGAGAGGAAGGGAGAGGGAGGTAGAAACATCAGTGATGAGAATCACTGATCTGCTGCCCCCTACTGGGGATTGATTGGCAACCCAGGCATGTGCCCTGACCGGGAATGGAACTGTGATCTCTTGGTTCATCATGAGGCCCAACCACTGAGCAACACCGGCCTGGCCGAGTTTCCTCTTTAAGTCTGAAATGACAGGGGCTTAGTTTGCAGGGAGTGAGGGCCCATTCTTCCTCCCAGTATGATACAAAGCAATGTCTTCAAGGGTAAGACAGAGAAATGTCAACAACCAATTTCACAAGATAGAAGTTATTGCTGCGTTAATGATTATTTGTTCAGTACATACTGGGCGCAAAGGCAGCGGAATATCAAGTAGGCACAGTGAGGAAATTAAAAAAGAAATGATCATTAAAAAAGACTTCTCCCGCCTCCAAGGGCTCGTAATCAAATTAAGGGAGTAAACGTAAACAGATGCAAAAACTTGAAAACAAGCACCTGCGACCTATGACCGGACGGACGACTTATCCTGCATTACGGTGCAGGGAATAATCCAGACGAAATACCGCCGAGGGCACAGCTGAAGAGCTGGGAGGATGCGGGTCGAGCAATGAGAAAGGGCTCCCTGGTCTTGCACATTTAACCTGATTTCCAGGTCCGCGTGGACGCTGGCCCTGGCACTTGTTGTTTTGCCCTATTGTTGTTTCAAAAATGAGGCCAGAGCAGCTGCCTGAAAAATAACATTCAGAAGTACCAGCGGGTGTTACATTATTCTCGGTTCTTTTTCAAAATGTAATTATTTTTCCTTCTCAATACTGGCAGCGGGACCCATGGCACCGGCTTCGGGGGGGTAATTCAGAGCAGCCCGGCCCCTGGCTCTCGGGCGCCCCCTGCCGCCCGGGCCTCGCCGCGCTCGCCCCAACATGAAAAGCAGCTGAGCGGGGCGGGGCACAGTTCTCCGCGATCCTTCCCGCCCCTTCACTAAAGCAACCAACCACGCCCGGTGGCCCCTCCCCGCCCCGACTGAAATCCACGGGGCGATTTAGATGAGATCCAGCCGTGCCTCCGTTTCCTCACGGGTCCCTCTCGTGGGGCCCCCTCGAACTTTCTGCGTCCACCACCACCCCCAGCCCTCCCAGCCTCGGTAGCCAAAGCGACGGTCCATCTTCCTTTTCAAACGGCGGGAACTTCACAGATCAGACCTCCCACCCCGGGCCCTCTACTGCCTCTGGTGGTGGCCACCGTCTTACCCCCGGCTCCGGGGTCGCGCCGAAAATGCGGCCACCCCCAGCGGCTGTTGTTTTGGACTACGTTTCCCATGAGCCCTTTCTCAACGTCGCGAGAGTCCCAGCGAGACCGCCGAGAAGACTTGCGCGCAGGCGCGGCCCCGCCCTCTCCCCGAGGCCGGCCGCGTGGCTGGAAGTCATGGCTCCTTCTCTCCGGGCCCGGGTCGGCGAGCAGCCTCGGGCCTCAGGCCTTTGGCAAGGGTAAGGCTGCGGAAGCGGGAACACGGGGTCTTCTTTGGGCGGGAGCACACGTGGCCTCCCTTTTTCAGGGGCGAAATGGTGACGCCAAACCTGACAGGCTGGTTGGGAGGATTAGCTAAGACGTTGGATGAGAGCCCTGACCGGTTTGGCTCAGTGGCTAGAGCGGCGGCCTGCGGACTGGAGAGTCCGGGTTCGATTCCGGTCAAGGGCATGTACCTTGGTTGCGGGCACATTCCCAGTGGGGGTTGGGGGTGGGGTTGGGGTGCAGGAGGCAGCTGGTCGATGTTTCTCATCGATGTTTCTATCTCTCTATCCCTCTACTTTACTCTCTGTAAAAAAAAAAAAAAAAAAAAAAATAATATATTTATTAAAAATTTTTTTAAAAAGATGTTGGATGAGAAAACGCTTTCCAAACGGCGCGAGGTTTTACGGTTGAAGGGAGAGAGCTCAAGCCCGCCTTTGAGGGAAGGGCCCCTCCGCGCAGCCCCCTGTGGGCTGAGCTTGCAGCCACGGCCGGCCCTGAGGGGGTCCCGGGTCCGCCCGAGGCGCCGGCAGTGGCAGGTGTTAATTCAGGTCGCGAGCGTTCACGTCTGGACGCCTGACTTCCGCCTCAAGTGCCCGGAGAGCCGCCCCAACCAGTTTCTAGAGAATTCTGCATTTAGCCATCGACGGGACTGGAGGCTTTGGAAAGCCGCGTTTCTACAAAGAACCTTACACGGTCATTTTTTTCCTTCCCCGCAGGCCTGCCTGTAGCATCTGCGGAGACGGAAGCGGACCTGCAGGTTGAAGCTTAAAAGGACTGGAATGAATGGAGCCCCGAAATGAGTAAGAATGGCGGGGTGCGGGCAGGATCTGGGAGGGCACCAGGAATGAGAAAGCCGAGATGGTGGGGAGGCCCGTCACATACAGCCGTCTAATACTGCAGAGTAAGGTCCATTCTGTGCGCACATGCTGGCATACATCTAGCCTCCGGAAGTGAGGGGTCTGTGCCCGCGTGATGTGGGGGCCGCCAGGTGTCGCTGTTTGAAACTTAGTGGAAACCATTGCATGGCGGGGCGGGGTGAAGGGAGCCTTGGAAAGGGGAGTCGGCTGGCTGGGGTTTAGAAGTGTGGGTGACCGCCCGAGCTGAGGATGATTTAAAGTTATCCCTGTCGGAAAGGGCTTCCTCTGTGAGGAGTTCTGACCTGCCGAGGCTCAGCTGGGTAAACGCCAGTCTTGAGAATAAATGCCTGACCATTGTTTCTAGTAGAGTGAGACGTGTTACCCTGTTTCTCCTTCCGGCTAAAGGTGTTGGCTGTGGGCTTTGAGAAAAGTCACGTGAGAACCATCATCTTCAGATGTTGAGTGTAAGGATCTTCATGATGGAGGTTTCTGTAAACGGTAAGGTTTTTAGCTCTTTCACTGACTTGTGTAGGTCACGACCTCTTTTAAGCTTTGGTCGCTAGATCTGGGAGATGTGTGGGTCTTTCCGGGTTGTCACTGCCCACCTAAGGGAAGTAAGTAAGGAACTCTTTGCTAGGCTCCTCGCCAAGCAGTCTCACGCACAGTATTTGTTACAACTGTTGTGAGAATTAGGTTAGACCAGTGGTTCTCAGCTGGGGGCAGGCGGTGTGGCTGGGATCCGGTGGGGGCTGCTCAGTGTTCTGCAAAGCACAAGTCAGCGCCCGCACAAAAGCACCGTCCACCCAGAATGTCAGTAGAGCTGAGATTGTAACCTGCATCAGACCAGCTTGAGTGATTTGAGCTCTAGCCTCGGCCGGTACCACATAACCACACAGCCTTGTTCATTCATTGGCAAAGCAGGGTCAGTGCTTCCCAGACCTGTCTGTGTGACAGAACCACCTGCGAAGTGTTACAATATACACATTCCTGGACCCCACCTCCAGCCCTGGGTGAGTGGGCCCAAGAATCACGAGTGTCAGTGGGAGCAGGCACGGAGGACTGGATGATCAGATCTACTTTTAGCCCGGATTTTTGTTACAGCGGAGATTATAGGACTGGCTATGTTTTAACCAGCTCTCGGGGCAGATCCATAATCCTCTGTCTTAAACAGAAAGCCACATGCTTGCTCTGCACAGAGAGGAGTGAGAAAGAAACAGCTTCTTGGCCTCAGGCACTGTTTGTGGTGCCTAAAGGAGTAATCTGCACTTAACTGACACGGGAAAGACACTAGACCAGGGGTCCTCAAACTACGGCCCGCAGGCCACATGCAAATACAGATATTGTATTTGTTCCCGTTTTTTTTTTTACTTCAAAATAAGGTATGTGCAGTGTGCATAGGAATTTGTTCATAGTTTTTTTTTTTTAAAAACTATAGTCCGGCCCTCCAACGGTCTGAGGGACAGTGAACTGGCCCCCTGTTTAAAAAGTTTGAGGACCCCTGATCTAGACTGTATACCCCCCAGGCTCAGCTGTAAGACACGTGGTGCTGAGGGAGACCCTGCCTTTCAAAGGGCAGGAACTGCCCTGGCCAGTCTGGCTCGTTGGATAGTGTTGGCTCTCAGACCAAATGGTCTCGGGTTCGATTCCTGGTCAAGGGCACGTACCTTTGTTGAAGGCTCGATCTCTGGCCCTGCATGCAAGGAGGCAACCACTCAACCTGTCTTTCTCACCTCGATATTTTTCTCTCTCCCACGCCCCCCCCCCCCCTTAAAATCAATGGAAGAATGTTCTCAGGGGAGGATTATCAAAAATAAAAGGTCATGAACTGTCGATGTGTCAGGTCTGGACACTGGGTACATCTAGCACTAGATATGGTCAGGTTTTGCCCTTGAGGGAAAGTACCTTCTAATCCAGTAGATTTGGTTGAATGAGCGTTCTCAGAAGGAGTAAAGCAGAGTTTGGTGAGAAAAATAGTTGCATGTGCTGTGGGCTGGCAGATTGGTGGGAGCCGAGTCCATGATGATGTAAAGTTATCCCTGTCTGAAGGCAAAGAGGCCTTCAGTGTGGAATTTGGATGTCTGAGACTCCGTTTCCCAAGTTTCTTATAGATAATTAGGCCTGGTTGGAAAGTGAGTTTCTTGAGTCGGTTTTTCTTTGCAATTTCTCGCCAGGGGCGGTCCGGCCTTGGTTTCGGACCCGCGACGGACCCTCCAGGAGAAACCTCTACGCAGCAGTAAGTAGCCCTGGGCCTGGAGTGGGGTTTTTCTCATGGACGAAACGACTTTCCGCACAGGCCTGGTGGGGTGGTCGTTTTGCTTCCCTGCCCGGGACTTGGGGTTCTGCTAAGTGGCGAGGAGACTAACACAGGTTGTTTCTTTGTTAGACGCCTGCAGTGCGAGGCACAGAACTGAGCTGCTTTGCCCGAAGCAAGTGAAACAGTCCTCCCGTTGTAAGTTTCCTGTTTCCGTCTTACCTGCCTTTGTCCCTAAGAAGCCCCCAAGCCTATGATGGTTCGTTATCCCTGTCTGAACCTCTCACTGAGGGAGAGCAGTCTGTTCTGAGGCTGACGGGTGGCTGGGCCCTGTGCTCTTACAAGTTCGGGTTTTATAAGGGATCACATTGAATGGACTCAAAGGAAACTGGATACGTATCCCATGGGGCCCCAGGCCAGCGCCTCAGCTCTCTGCAGCTTGAAGGCCAATGGCGTGGCTGCCGTCACGCTTTAGGCCCCTGGATTAATGTCTCTGAGGGACGGGCTATGTGAGAGATGTTAGAACTGGGCAGTGGCCAGGATTTGGCTTAGACTCTTGCTGGGGAACGAGAGTGCTCGCCCAGCATCTTTCAAGAAGACGGAGGGAGTCTGTCTGCAGCTGTGCAGGGAGAGTCCTGGGGCCACTGGCCTCTCGCCTTTGCCCCGGGTCCTGCCCTAACTTCTATCACGTGTCCCAGGTGCTTAGCACCAGGTCTAAGGTTGGCGCAGATCGCGCCGGAAAGGCATGGCTGGCATGTGGGCAGGAAGGGATCAGTGGCTGTGGACGTGGCTTAGTGCCAGCTTGAAGTGGCACCGCTTGAAAGTGGGGTGTGTTTGGGCTCTTTATATTCAAGGCCACATGTGTGTTTGGTCACCATGGAAGCTATATTTGGGGTGAGGTTTGGTGAACCTGAAAACTGGCCCCAGCAGCTTACAGCCCAACAAACTGGAAGGGCGCGCTGCTAAGCGGGGAAATCTGCACAAGTTTTACATAAGGAGCAGGTGATGCAAGTGTCCCCGGTGCTTGGTGGCTGGTCTTGACTGGCCACTTCCCAAACACTGCCGCCCCCTCCCCCCTCCAACACGGTCTCCTGAAAACAAGCTGCCCATCATCTGGGGCCTCACCGGCCGCATGGAACTACCTGATGGCACCCATCGTGCCTTCACGCACAGAGGCGTTCTGGGTTTGAACAAGCACCTCTGTGGCTGCCTTTTCTCTAACTTGGTGGATTCTTTAAAGTTAGCCTTCGGTTTGAGTCAGTCTGTTGGCTGTTGTGTCAAATGATTCTCTGGTTTTACAGGTGACCTCCCCGTTGTGCCGGCCGGATCCGCGCAGCCTCTGTTGCTCATGTTAGTGCCTGTGAAGTGTTTCTCCCAGAGGAGAATCATTTCAGAGCTCTGTGGACTTCATCTTCAAAAATAGACAGATAATTCGAGAGAAAATGAGTTTATCCCAGGAAATTAGTGAAATTGGGGTATAACTAAGAACACTGGGAAGCCGCACCGTGGGGGTCGATATTTGTTACTCGTGTATTGGCGGGACTGCGGTGACGGTGGATGGGGGGTAATTAACGTGTACTGAGTGTGCTCTTGGGGGAAGCAGAGGCTCCGCCTAGGAAAACATTTCTCAGTGCGGACTTCTTACGGCAGTGTGTCTTGGGCTTAACTTTTGAAGCACAAATAAACATTTTCAAATGACGGGCATTGTGGGTTTCAGATGGAGACCCACGCAACAACAGTATATTGTGACTCAGTAACATTCCTTGGTAAATGAGTTTCACAGAATAATAGTTGGGTTTAACGGTAACCAGGATGCAATCAGATGTGTTGGGGTGTTTGTAAGTTTCCTACTAAGTTGATTTTATGCCCCTTTAATGGGTGGCCATGGGCCAGGTCCTGGGCCCTGGGGGAGGGGTCGTTGCCACCTGGGGAAGGCTGCCTACCAGCCAGCCGTGCGGAGACCACCCCCGCCCCCCGCACAGTGCGGGCATCAGACTGTCCTGGAAGCTGCCTGGTTGCTGGGTTGGGGGGGCGGGATCCCAGGGCTTAAGGGCTGGGCGGTATTAGCTTGGCTTCCAGTAGGAGCCTGTATAATGCCTAAGTGAAACTGCCTATCAATTAAGTTCAAATTGTGGCACCATGATGTCCAATACAGAGTAAGGGGGTTCATTGCAGGATGCCATCCTTTTGGTGACAAGGTGGCAATATATCTGTAACGGGCATCCCCGCAGGCAGGCAACCTGTGCGCTCGGCCCCGTCAAATACCAGAACCTTCCTGTGGCTCTGGAGTTCTCTGGTCTCCACGCTACACCCCTGCATGGTATCACGGCGTGCTACTTCTACCTCAACACACAACGAACGAAGACGGCCATCCATCGTTTATGCAGTTACCTGGTTTCAGATTACATTCTGCCTTTTGTGCTGCCTCTTTCTCGTGGCGCTCATGTATGTCGGTCATGGTCTCAGAGAGGTGAAGACGCGGCCTTGAGCTGGATTGCCTTGGAGGTCGCATGTCCGCGGGAGGACTGGCTGGGAGTGTGCAGGTGCCCGTGAGGGAGTGTGGCCGAGTCCTCCGTTGACTTCCCAGTGCTGCTCAGCACCTGTTGGTCTTGAGGCTCAGTTCTGAGGTCAGTCTGCCCCTTGGGGAGGGTGACGTCACATCTTGGGAGTGTTCTCTTCCGTTTTAAACAAAGCCAGCAGGACAGTCCATTCTCCCTGGACCCAGGGGGTGTCTGTCTCAGACATCGGAGCTTTCTTGGATGAACCGAGGGCAAGATGGGGTGTTTCACAATGAACAGGCTTCAGTGGTAGTCACACACACCTCAGTGTCACCTGAGGGAAGGAGTGGGTCTCGGGGAGTTGGCCCCCAGCTCAGCAAGAATCAAGCTCGGTGCTGGTACAGCTGCAGGATGCCCGCCTTGTGCAGGTCCCACCACAGAGCTGCCTCCAGGGACAGATCGTGATTTGCATAGAATACCAGTGGCTGCTTAACTCGATCGAAGTAGTGGTCGGAAAACTTCCAGAAGTTACTTGTGATGAATCCATAGGCGCTAACCTGGACAAAGATGGGCATTGAGCTGCTGCGTGCAGACTCATGTCAAGTGACATGGATTCAGGAAAGCCCAGTCCCGCCCCCGCCCCCACCTTACGCCTGTGAGGACGCAGGTGAACAATGGGTGCAGCTCATAAGTGAGTGCTGTACAGGTGTAGGGCCAGGGCCCTGTGGCCTCAGTGGGGGTCACTGCCCGCCTTTGAAAACGGCCGAGTCTTCCCTGTGGCTCCTATGGAACGTCTCTTGGAGTGACCAGCGATTGTGGGGGCGAGCCCTGCTGTCCCACCCACCTCTAAAGTGTCCCCATCAATGCCTGTCCTGGGGGAGGGGTCGTGGAGAAGGCTGCTTTCAGAAGAGCAGTTTGTAATATGTCTTGGATGCCACGTAGAGTGGCTGCCCTGGAACAAGGGCGTGAAAGAAGGAAGTGTGGGCAGGGCCCCTAAAGGACCCTGGGTATTGGATGCGACTCTCCCCTGCCTTCCCTAGACCCCTCCTGCAGCTGGGGATCAGGTCTGAGGTGCCGCCTCGTGTAGGCTCTGGGATAAGTCCAGTTCCGTTCACACCTGGACTCCGCTGCTGTGGATTCCCGAGAGAAGGCCTCTTACCTGGTCACAGGCATGTAGCGCTGTCAGCAGCATGAGGGCCCCGGTACTAGGCATATATAAGTCTTTAAATTTTGAGATAATCCGCTTTGATTTCAAAAACCTGGAAGCAAAATGGCATTGAAACTCGGACATTTGGGTCTTGCGCAGCAGCTTGGTAGTTACGCCATTGCAGTGACCGGAAAGGCCGGGGAGCTCCTGGCCCTTCTCCCATCGGGTCTCTTCTTCGGGAAATTCTGATCCTAAAGACCACAGTCTCCTTTGATTGAACCACCCCCTTAGATGACGGGGTGAGGAAGAGGAGCGGGCCCACCAGGGGAGCCACAGGGGAGCCCGCTTCCTCCTAGAAGCCTGCATCAGCCTGACTTGTGCCACCTCCTGCCCTCCGCCCTGGGCTAGTGACTAACCACAGCGCTAGGGCACAGGCGGCCTGCGTTTAGTCTGAGACCTAAGCTTCTCCCTATCCCCACACTCTTGGCCAAGCAGGAACCACACAGGTCCTGTGACTGGAGTCACTGGTGAGGTAGCACAAGAGTGACACCGCCTCCCCCGCTGCTGACCACAGGCCCTGGCCTGGGCGTGTCTTCCTCTGCACGCGGCTGTGACTGCTGGGCCCCCGCTGCCCAGGCCCACCTGGACCCTCACCCGCGCCCGGGGTGCTCGCCTCGGCTGCAGCAGGTTTCTCACCCAGCTGCTGCACTAGTGACACTTTAAAGGGCCCGGTTCACATCAACCTATGGACCAGGAGGTCACGGTTTAATTCCGGTCAGGGCACAGGCTGGGTTGCAGGCTAGATCCCGGGGGGGGGGGGGGGGCATGCAGAAGGCAGCTGATCAGTGATTCTCCCCCTCCTGCTCCCTCTCTGAAATCAGTAAGAATACATTTAAAAATAAATAAAGGGCCAATCTTGGCTGCAGGGGCATCCTGTGCATTACAGGATGTTCAGCAGCAGCCCTGGCCTCTACGTACTAGTGGTGCTTGCACTCGCCTAGTGACAACCAAAATGTTTCCAGGCAGACCAGTGGCCCCACCCCGCCACGGAGAACCACGGGCAGGGACTCCGAGTGAGGTGGGGTCCTGTTCCCTGGCTCCTCCCTGTGCTCACCTTGAGCCTGAAGATGGCGGCAGCTCAGCTTCCGCTACTGCCCCCGCACCTCATGGTAGCCCACACCCAGCCTGTGCCTCATAAACAGCCCTGGCGCCCCATCGGCGTGGCTCTGGCTGAATGTCGACCTATGAACCATGAGGTCTGGGTTCAATTCTTGGTCAGGGCACATGCCCAGGTTGCACGCTAGATCTCCAACGGGGGGGGGGGGGGGGTGCAGGTGGCAGCCGATCAATGATTCTCTCCCATCGATGTTTCTCTCTCCCTTCCTCTCTGAAATCAGTAAGTTTTTTTTTTAAATAAACAAACAGCCCTGGCAAATCGACCTCGAGTTCTTCCGGGTTTCCTGTTCCCCTGATTGGTGCCCACCACCTCCATCGAGGTGCTGAAGTAGTAGCTAAACCGCTAACGAGGCTTTGGCACCTGCTTGGCGTGTGGCTCTGGCTGGGTGAGAGCTGATGGGCCTGAAGGGAAGGCCGGCAGTGCGGGGGCACTGCCACCCCAACCACCTACCTCTCCGTCAGGTAGCTGATGAAGGCTGGATGGAGTAGCTTGAATTTGCTGGCAGGGGCTTCTGGTCCGAAATAGGTCTGAGGCCTATTTGGGGAGGAAGCGGACGGAGCGGTTCAGGCTCTCGTACTGCATGGAGAGGTAGCCGCCCGAGCGGCGGCGGGGCAGGGAGCGGTAGTAGAAGCGCGGCTGCGAGTAGTAGCGGGAGAAGGGCGTGTAGAAGGTGGCGGGCAGCACCGAGGGCACCACCGGCGGCTTGGAGCCCACCAGCACGTCGGTGGGCAGCTTGTAGGTGAGCGAGCACGGGGGCGTGAACAGGTTGGGAGGCGTCGAGAAGTTGCTGATGGCGTTGGGGTAGTGGGGCGGGGGCTGGAGGAGAGGGAGGTAGAGGGACTCGGGGGGCCGGGAGTGCGGGGGGGACTGGGCGGACTGGGGGGGCTGGCACAGGGGCAATGTAGACGTGGGGGGCTGGAAGAAGGGGGGCTCCCTCAGGAAGCGGGGCACGTACGGGGTGATCTGGGACGGAATTCCTGGAATGGACCCGATGTAGGAGCCCGAGCCCATAGGGCTGTAGGAGGGGGACCTGGAGGAGCGCCCGGGGGGAGTCTGGGAGTTGTTCCGGGAGGCAGGTTTCAGGCCAGACTGGGAGGGAGACTTGGAGGCGGGGGGAGTGGCGGTTGGGGGAGATGCTCGAGACACGTGTTGGGAATGAGGGCTGGGGGTCAGGGAGGGAGCCCGGGAGGGGGGCTGCGAGGGGGAGGGGGTCGGAGGGTGAGAGGGGGGGCGGGAGGAGGACCGGGTGGGGGTCGGGGAAGGGGCTGAACCACCCGAACTGGAGTAGGGCTGGTTGGCAGGGCTGCTGTTGTGGTTGGTCCGGGACTGGGAGGGGGACTGGGCAGGGGATGGATTAGGGGTTTGGGAGGGGGAGCTCATTGGTGTTGAGAAGGCTTGTGAGCACCCGAGGTCTCTGAGGCAGCACCCCCAAGAGCCTGGTCCCCGCCCATGTCACAAAGCCCACTCTCATGACCCCTGCAGCATTGTGAGCAATTGTTGGGTCATCACAGGGCGGGCGGGGCGGGGAGTAGGGCGCAGGGCCAGCCTGGGGGTGCTCTCCTGGCCTGGGAGGGGTTCACTTTTAAGGGGCCCCTTAGCAGCTGCGCTTCCAGGGCGGGGGCTGAGGTAGGGGGTGGTCATTGTGTGGCCAGGGGTGGGGTAGATGTCCAAGGACCGGATTCAGGGACTGCCAGCAGCGCCAGGAGAGGGCGGCGTGGAGACCGGCTCACCAGCACCGCAGGCCCGGCCGTGGAGCCCGCGTGTGCCAGCTGGTGGCGGACTGCTTTGGGGACAGCAGCCTGAAGCTCAGAAGCAGGTCTGCCTGCTCCGTTCAGAAAAGCCTGCGGCCGGGCGGACCGGGAGGCGCCGGGGGACG